TCTCCAAGGAGGTGCAAAGTCAGCCACTGCCTGAGGCTACCCTGCAGGAGCTACAGAGGGATCTCCAGATTCTTCCTCTATGTTTGGGGTTTGGAGGTGCCCAGATGAGGCGCAGCTGTGAAGCAATGCAGGCTGATGCGAGCCTTAGGCCTTTTTTGAAGCTCTGGGGTTCTCTGACCCAGCTGCAGTTTGACAGGTTTTTAGGCGGAGAAAGGCCAGGCCATTGGTATGAAAAAGCCTCTGTGCACAGCTTGGGTGGGGTTGTAAATTGGGTGGGGCAGGATCTCAGGGAATCACCAGGGCAGAGCAAACAGCAATGGTTGCCCGTCGGCCCGCTCCGGATAGGTCCCTGGGTCTCTGTGTCCTGTGGCCCCGTGCAGGAACAATGACCGGTGCAAGCACCTCTGTGAGAAAGCCGCCCTCACGTTCTGGCCCAATGCCAGACAGTCTAGTTTCTCTCTGTATGAGTCTGAGTTCAGAGCAGTCGGGAGCTTATCTCCCTCCCGATTGACAAAGACAACAGCGATTGACAAAGACAACACCTGCAGACCAAAGGAGCCCCTTTCGCGCACACCTCTGTACCTCCGCTCTTCCACACCTCTGCACCTCCTACCAGACTCAATGTGCTTTTCTCTTTCCTTCTAGTTGTAGAATTTCCACTCAGCCAGCCTTCCCACAGTTCTGGATGATATTCGTTAATGTGGTTGTGCGCGGCAGCAAGTTCAGGTGTATACCTATGCCGCCATCTTGGTTGTCTCTGCTTAAGCATGTTTTAAATTACTATATGTAAAGAGGTCAGCTATCTTCAGTAGGGATATACATCAAAGATGAGTATGCACTGGGTAAAATAGCAGTATTGAATAAAATGGAAAGAGGTCCTAGGAAGAAAGTTATTATCTCTTAAAGAAAGATACAACAGAAGCAATTACAATAAATAAATAAAACTGTTAATATATATGATAAAGGGACAAGGAGGACAGATCATTAAGTTCTACATAGGGCCCTAGCTGGTTTGGCTCAGTGGATAGCGTGTCAGCCTGCAGACCAAAGGGTCCCAGCTTCAATTCTGGTCAAGGGCACGTTCTTTGGTTGCAGGCTTCTCCCGGGCCCGGGCCCTGGTCAGGGCATGTGCAGGAGTCAACCAATCAGTATGTTTCTCTCTGTCTTTCCCTCTCTCTATCACTTTCTCTAAAGATCAATGGAAAAACATCCTTAGGTGAATATTAACAAAAACAAAAAAGTTCCACATAGTCCACATAGTCCACTGTGTGTCAGACAAACTGATAAGGATAAAACCAATAATGAATTAAGTGAATACTACAAGTTTAGTTTGGAAGATTAGTTCCTTTCTATTACATTACTAACAGGAACAGTTTCATATATCTTATCTGGTTTATAGAAATCATTCTAAATTTTTCATTTTTCACAGTTATTTCCTCCGTTACTAATTCCCAAAAAGGAAGATTAAAACTCTTTAATTGGAGCATATATTATTAACAGTCTTTATTGTCTATTTGCTCCATAGGGATATGTGTATAAAATTTAAGATTGTAGCTTTTTATTTTGAATACCAGAGGCCTGATGAACGAAATCCGTGCAAGGGACTTGGCCCCCGCCGCTGCAGCAGCTGCCTCTGCCTCGCCCCCTGCCACCATGGCTTCGTCTGGAAGGTCGTCCGGAAGGACGTCCAGTCTAATTAGCATATTATGCTTTTCTTATTATAGACTAGAGGCCCAGTGCACGGGGGTGGGGGTTGTCCCTCAGCCCAGCCTGCACTCTCTCCAATCTGGGACCCCTCAAGGGATATCATCCCTCTCACAATCCAGGACTGCTGGCTCCCAACCGCTTACCTGCCTGCCTGCCTGATTGCCCCTAACCACTCCCCTGCCAGCCTGATCGATGCCTAACTGCTCCCCTGCTGGCCCGATTGCCCCTACCTGCCCTCCTCTGCGGCCTGGTCACCCCTAACTGTCCTCCCCTGCAGGCCTGGTTGCCCCTAACTGCCCTGCCCTGCCGGCCCGGTCACCCCTAACTGCCCTCCCTGCCCACCTGGTCGCCCCTAACTGCCCTCCCCTGCAGGTAAGGTCACCCCTAACTGCCCTCCCCATCAGGTCTGGTCGCCCAAAACTGCTCTCCCCTGCAGGTCTGGTTGCCCCTAATTGCCCTCCCTTGCAGGCCTGGTTTCCCCTAACTGCCCTCCTCTGCCGGCCCGGTCACCCCTAACTGCCCTCCCCTGCTGGCCTGATCGCCCACAACTGCCCTCCCTTTCAGGCCTGGTCCCTCCCAACTGCCCTCCCCTGCCAGCCTGATCACCCACAACTTCCCTTTCCTACCTGCCATCTTGTGTTCACATGGGGGTGGCCATCTTGTATGTTGGAGTGATGGTCAATTTGCATATTACTCTTTTATTAGATAGGATATTTTTATTGATTTCAGAGAGGAAGGGAGAGGGAGAGAGAAATAGGAACATCAATGATGAATCATTGATCAGCTGTCTACTGCTCGCCCCACACTGGGGATAGAGGCCGCAACCTAGGCATGTGCCCTGACTAGGAATTGAACTGTGACCTCCTAGTTCATAGGTTAACACTCAATCACTGAGCCACGATGGCTGGGCAAGATTGTAGCTTTTTAAATATCTTTGGGTAGAAGTTTATTAAGGTTGCCCTTGTTTGTAATGGTGAAATAGGATTATAAACAGTTACTTTAGTAATTATTATTTCTTTTATTATAAGAAAGATCATTAACTTTACTAAATGGAATACTTATATATCTAGGTTATATAATGGAATTAAAATCAGTTGATATTTGTATATACTCGTATCCTATATCTTTGTAATTTTTATTCTGGCATCATATCTGAGATTGGGTTAGTCACACTTCTGCCTGAGGTGGAATTGGCATTTTTTTCCAATATCAGAATGAGCTTTTTTTTGTTAATCCTCACCCAAGGATATATTTTTCCCATTGATTTTTAGAGATAGTGGAAGGGAGGGGGAGAGACAGAGAGAGAAACATCTATGAGAGAGAGACACATCAATTGGTTGCCTCCTGCACACACCCCAACTGGGGTCAAGGTGAGACCCTGCAACCGAGGTAAGTGCCCTTGATCAGAATCAAAACCATGACCTCTCAGTCTGTGGGTCAATGTTCTAACCATTGAGCAAACCGGCTAGGGCCAGAATTAGCTTTTAGATGGGATGAGGATATATCATTGGAGAGAGGGTAAGGTGAATACATGTGGGGAAACAAACAAATATGTGAAATGAGAAGGGGCCAATATTCTTAGAAGCCCCAGGTAGGGTTTTAGAAATCCACTGTAGTTCTAGATTGTAATGAACTCCACGGAATCCAGTTTCTTTGGTGTAAACAATTGTAGAGAAAATCTGTTGTGTTTTCTAATATATAATATTATATTATATATAAAACAAAGCCAAGTTCATTCCAGGAATTCTCTGGGAAATTCAGACAGTTATGTGGAAGATATATAAGAAAATCCCAAATGCAAAAGAGATCGAAGTAGAACCAAGTTCAGATATTATTACTGAAGCATTCATGGCTTTAGCCCCTAGTTGAAGCATATATTATTAGCAGTCTTCATTGTGTATTTGCTTCATAAGGATATGTGTATAAAAGTTAAGATTGTAGCTTTTTAATTATCGTTGGGCAGAAATAATAATAATCAAACTTCACTTGTTTGTTCAAGTTTTATAGAGCTGGATGTTCTTTGAAATAAATACAGTAAAATTATGACTGGGTTAACAGCATTTAACATGCTAGTGTGATTTTTGTACTCTTCTTTCTTTTCCTTGGCACTGGCTTCAGTTCTATAAGATACTTCCATTCAGGTTTTCAGTATCAGACCTTAGGAAGACAGGATAGATAGCATTTTTATTGAAACGTGGTCATTCTTGCCCGGATGTGGTAGATCAGTTATTGAGCATCAAACTATGAACCAGAAGATCAGAGTTCGATTCCCGGTCAGAGCACTATGCCCTTGTTGCAGACTCCATCATCAGTGTGGGAGGCAGCTGATGAGTGATTCTCATCATTGATGTTTCTATCTCTCTCTGTCTTTTCCTTACTCTATGAAATAAATAGGAATATATTTTTTTTAAAAAAAGAAAAGTGGTCATCTTAAATACATTTTATGTACAAATGTGCAGTCTGGATTTATTGTTTAACTGCCTGGCCTCAAACATCATTGTTATTTTGCTTTTCAAATATTTACATGTGTTTCTTACAGTGACTTACTAAAGGAACTTAAAAAGAAGGATGTGGAGATTTTATTATTTTTACTAAATTTCTTTTCTTTTTGGCTACTCTCTGTTGAATTGTAGAATTAGCTCAGTATCACCCAACACCTCCTTTGAGCCCAGAATTGCCTGGTAGTTGCCAGAAGGAGTTCAAAGAGAACAAAGAGCCCTCTCCAAAGGCAAAGCGCAAGCGAAGTGTGAAGATCAGCAGCCTGGCTTTGGAATCTATGCATTGGCAAAATGACTCTGTCCAGATCATAGAAAGTGCCAGTGATTTAAAGAGCATGGATGAATTTCTTCTGAAAAAGGTATACTTTGAATGCTGAGTTAGGCTCCTGAGCAGCTTTGACTATGGAATACTTGTATATATCAGGATATGGTCCCTAGAGATCAAGGTGACATATGCTTTATTAAATTAGATGGTCTTTCCTTTTCAAAAAAGGTGTAAATAATATAATATACATTAGTCGGTCTGGGTAAACAGAATTTTACTTTAACTGTCATGTTATATATTCCGTATGTGAAGATGAGGCTTGTTATTGCATACCATACTTGAAGTTGTTTTTCTGGTAGAACTATAGAATCATAAATGTTAGAAAGGACATTAGAAAATCATCTAGCAATAATAAAACTTTGGCTGTTTAGTCGTGCTTTTACCTATAATAGAGTGGTTTGCACTTTCAGGACAGTCATATGTGTTCACTATTTCATTTACCTCTTTTCAATTACTTGATTCAGTACAAAAACTCTTTCTGTGGTCCCCAGATGAATGACCTAGATAATGAAGACAGCAAGAAAGACACACTAGTGGATGTTGTATTTAAAAAAGCCCTGAAAGAATTCCGGCAGAATATCTTCAGCTTTTATTCATCTGCATTGGCGGTAATTAGTATATATTTTGTAGCTCGACATACAAAAAATTTGTCAATACTGTAGAAGATAATACAGAGGCCATGTTCAACTAGAGATTTCTTTGGTTCCTTGTTTTTGTTTTAGGTATAGCTAGGGAAAAGCATACTGACTGTTCTCAGATTAGTAGATTCCTCGAATTTCCTTAAGTAGTTTTCTTTTTCTCCCTCCTGGGTATATTTTCATCTTCCTAAGATATTGAATTTAAATATTCTAGATATTACCCAGGGACTCTACTATTTTGACTTTTCATAATCCTTTAGTTCTAGCTTCTAATTCTTATATGTGTGGAATTATTATACAGTTTTTTCCAGTAGTTTTGTTCACTGATTTCTACCTATCAGTTTATATCACTTTCAGATTTACTTTATGCTTTCATATGATATTGGTTGTGTTTTAGAAAATTTATATTATAATGCCAGACTATAGGAGAAATTCCCAGGACTTTTTCAAATTACATTCTTTAAACTGTTTAGTATTTTGCTAAAATTTAGCAGGTTTTACTCAGCAGATATTTCACAGTATAGTAGGAATTTACATCTATAAGTACCACATGACCTCCTGGGCATGCCCATTAGAAAGTTTATCAGGTTCCTAATTTTTATTCTGAATATTAACCCAATGCAAATTGAATCAATCTTCTATATGAAAGAATTTCTTCCTAAAAACCTTAAATTTCTTCTTTTATTGCTTATTAGATAGATGATGGGAAAAGCATACGGTATAAAGACCTCTATGCACTATTTGAGCAGATTCTGGAAAAGACCATGAGACTTGAGCAGCGAGATTGGAGAGAATCTCCAGTCAGAGTTTGGGTCAACACTTTTAAAGTGTTTTTAGATGAATATATGAATGAATTCAAGACTTTGGATTGTATACCCCCAAAGGTAAATATGGTATATTTTGATTTCTTAAAAGATTCAGTTATTAACTCTGCTTAAGAGTCTGTTTGAGACATCTGGTATTTGAGAAAAATATTACAGTGAAATGTCAACTTAGCATTACTTGAGATTTAACAAACTCCATTATGTCTTACAAGTTCATCAGACCATATTTTCTAAATATGTCATTTAATACATTAATTAATACATTCTTCACTGAGATAAAATATAATGTGCCCTCAAGATTATACCTTCAGCTTTGATAGAGGTCATTACATGAATTTTCTTTTGTAAAATAGTGGTTGAAGGTATGAGTCACTGTATCATCTAGTGACCTTTACATGAGGATCCACAAATTATATTTCTCCAAATATTGCTTTGTTTCCCCATAGGAGTAATCTCATTTTTCAGTTTCAACAGTAACTGTTGAATTAGGTTTTGGTGTTTGGTGTTTAATTCTTGCTTCAGCCCTGTTAAATAACTATTATGAAATCCATTTTACAGAGGAGTAGCAGGCTTAGAAAAAGTTATCAATGTGTTTCCTTTTAGTATCCCAGCTTAAATAATTAGCTGGGATACTGAATTATTAGGTATTAATATTATCTAATTATTAGGTATTAGGAATATTATTAATCCTTTTTGTTATGTTACATTTTATTTTCAGTTATTCTGGTTATATGTTTTTAGATTTACAAACTACCTTAAATCATTTTTGAAGTAGTCAGATACAAATAAATCCTTAGAAGTTCTTCTGTTCTAGATCTAGGTTAAGGTGTTTGTTATGCAGAAGATTTTTACTAGGCTTATACAGTGTTTGTTTATAATTTTAAAAGGTTAGGCTTCAATTGTTCTATACTATGGTTATCAGGAAATGTCATATGTAAAAGAACTTTTTTGTGTTCCACAAAGTTTTTTATATTTAGCTCTGGGATAGAGAGTTTTCTAGAGCCAAAATAGGGAAAATGCAATCTTTGTCATTAGTAATCATTTAATTAATGAGTAAAATAAAATCATTTAAATTAATATGGTGTGGTCTCTAGACAGAACTGAGGTTTAAAAAGAAAATAATTTCTAAAGTATCCTTTCATTCTGTTGTTTTTATGAATATTGTTTTAGCAAACTTCAAATTTTATCACATTTGCTTACTCTATTACCTTTTGAGCAAAAATCTTAGCATTTGCAAAGAAGTAAGAAAGTATGTTGGTCTTTGTTATATCACAGTTTTTATATTTATTTCCCACCAGGTGCCAAAAACAGAAAGAAAGAAAAGAAGGAAAAAAGAAACTGATTTAGTAAGTCATAGTCTTTTATGTTATAAAAAAGGTAATTTTTAGACCAGCAGTCTGAAGCATATCATACCATATTTATGTGGCTATGTTTAAGGAATAAGTTTATCAGTTGCCTATAATGTAATCATTTTTGGCTTTAAAATATTTGGAATGACATGTGGCTTTGTCTTTTGTGATTTGACTTGTTATCAGTGGTGGCTCCCTAAAATGGCTGGCTGACTTCAAACCTACTAAACTGTGTGATAATAAATGGGTATTGTTTTAAGCTGCTAAGTTTATGGTAATTTGTTACAGTAGCAATAGAAAACATATAATAGCTGTGCATAGAAATCTGTTTTACAGCTGTCTAATATTCCTTGCCGGACCTTTGGGTTATTTCTAGTCTTCTGCTGTTACAAACAGTAATGGCACAGTCAGTAACTCTGTGTGTGTGTGTGTGTGTAAGTGTGTAAGTGAGTGGGGGGATATTCTTAGAATTGGAATTACTGGGTCAAAATGCATCTGTTATTTTTATAAATATTGCTTTGTTTCCCCATAGGAGTAATCTCATTTTTCAGTTTCAACAGTAATATCTGAATATGGGTTGTTAAATTTTTAGATTTTTTTGCCAATTTGATAGACAAGGAATATTATATCTCCTTATAGTTTTAATTTTATTTTATCTTATTATCAACTAGAGGCCTGGTGCAAGAAATTTGTACACTCTGAGGGGAGGGGGGCTGGGGGTCCCTCAGCCTGGCCTGCGCCCTCTCGCAGTCCAGGAACCCTCGGGGGATGTCCGACTGACGACTTAGGCCCAAGCCATCAATCGGACATTTTTAGCACTGCTGTGGAGGTGGGAGAGGCTCCCGCCACCGCCACTGTGCTCGCCAGCCATGAGCCCAGCTTCTGACTGAGTGGCGCTTCCCCCCTGTGGGAGCGCACTGACCACCAGGGGGCAGCACCTGCATTGCGTGGGATTGGGCTGAAACTGGCTCTCCAACATCCGCTGAGGGGTCCCAGATTGTGAGAGGGTGCAGGCCAGGTCGAGGAACCCCACAGGTGCATGATCAGGGCCAGGGAGGGACGCAGGAGGTTGGCCAGCCGGGGCGGGACTGTGGGAGGGCTCCAGGGCGTGTCCGGCCCATCTCGCTTAGTCCTGATCAGCTGGACCCCAGCAGCAAGCTAACCTACCAGTCGGAGTATCTGCCCCCTGGTGGTCAGTGCACATCATAGCAACTGGTCAACTATCTGCCCCCTGGTGGTCAGTGCATGTCATAGTGAGCAGTTTAGCAGCCTTAGCATATCATTAGCATATTACGCTTTGATTGGTTGAATGGATGACTGGACACTTAGCATATTAGGCTTATATTATATAGGATAGGATGAGTTTATCTCTTTTTATGCTTAAGTACCATTTGCATTTTTCCTCATGTCCTGTATGTTTATGTTCAATCCCCATTTTTCTATTGGGGTTTTGGTCTTTTCTTTCTCAATTTCTAGGAATTTCATATATGAAGCAGATTACCTTTTGTCTGTGATATAAGTTGCAAATATGTTTTCCCATTTTGTCAGTTGTTTTTTGACCTGTCTTTTGATGTTACTTGCTGTATAGATTTTTACTTTTACAAAATTAGACTTACCAATCTTTTCTTTCATAGGCTCTGAATTTAGAGTCTCAATTAAACTTTCCCCTACTTAAAGGTTAAAAAGAAATTCTAAATTTTTATCTTCTAACATTTTAATGGTCACATTATTTTGCATTTAAATTCTTAGTGGAGTTTATCCTGATGGATAGTATGAGATACAAATATAATTTTACATCTTATCAAATCTAATATCATTTATTTAAAAGTCCATCTTTTTGAGATGTCACCCTTTTTATGTTCTAAATTCCCCTTTATGCATTGATCTTTCTTATTCTGTTCCATTAGTTGATCTGAATATTCATGAGTTAATTTCACGTTATGTTAATTATTAAATTTTTCTTATGTGTGATAGTTGGCAGGGCTAAATTCTCCTTAATTAATTTTCTCTTCTAGAACTTTTCTGGCTATTCCTTCTTGTTTTTCCATATGAACTTTGAATTTACTTGTCTAGTTTGTTCAGGCAAAAATATATTAGTTTTTTTTTTTTTTGCTTCCCTTATAAGTTAATATAGAACTGACATCTTTATAATTTTGAATCTTTTCACGTCTGTTTTTGTATTCTTTAGGAAGGGTTTTAAAGTTTTTCATATATAGGTTTTTATTATTTCATGTTACATCTATTTCTGGGTATTTTATCTCAGCAGAGAGAATCACTGTAGTTCATAGTATGGTGTATATCCTTCTATACTTTTTCTGTACTTATATAAACTCTTTAATCTGGTGGTTCTCAAAGTAATTTTCAGGTAAAACTGCTGACAACTTAGCTCAAATCAGGGGTTTCTGGGACACTTTCAGGGATTTTGCAAGATCAAAACTATTTTCATAATAATAATAATAACATTATTTTTCTTCTTCACTGAGTTAACAATCATAGGTAAAACTGCTGACAACTCAGCTCAAATCAGGTCAGTTGCTCCAAATGGGAATGGGAAGAATTCAATAGCTGCAAATAATGGTTGTCTCAAAAAAATAAAATCTCTTGTACAATTTAACTGTAAACTGATATAGCCTTTAAAAAACTGTGACAAATACTTATAACAAAATTTATAATTTTAAAGTATACAGCTTAATGTGGTTTAATAATAGTCATGCACTGCATAAGGACATTTCATTCAATCATGAACTGCATATTCAATGGTGGTCCCATCTATATATATAAAGAGCCAGGGTCCCTAATGTCCAAAATGACCGAAGGGACGACCAGTCGCCTCCCCCCAGCCCATAGGGGACTGGTGAGCTGCGGCAGGCGGTAAACAGCAAGCGGCTCGCGCTGGGCCAGGCCCTACCCTCCCCCCACCGGCAGTGCAGCAGGGCCTGTGCCAGGCAGAGGCAGGAGAGGCACATCCCGCACCCTACCAGGTTCTCAGACCCCCGTGCCAGCATCAAGGCCACAGATGCCAGCGCTTTGTTATCTGCCACAACTCCGCGGCCCTGGCGCTGCCCTGGCAGAAGTTTTGCGTGCCTCACCTATCCGGCCCAGGGCCATTTTCTCCATCTACTCTTGCCACCTGCTGCCCGCCCGCCGCTCAGACACCCAAGCCAGGGACTGGCTGCGGGGCGCTCTCAGACGCTCCTTTCCGCCCCCAAGCGTCCGGCAGCCTCTGAGCCCTGGGAGGGTGGGTCTGGGCTAGGGATCCACAGCCCCTCCTCTGCAATGTTCCACCCAGCAGTGGGGGAGGGGGCAGCCTCCCTCCTTTCCAGCTCTGTCACAGTGCAGAGGCTGGGGCGCATCTCTGCCCCCAACACCCTCTGAAACCCTGGGAAGTAGTGCCCGCCAGCCCAGCCTCAGGCTCTCCACCCTCAGGAGCCTGCACCTGGCTAGCCAGTGGCTGTTGCTCCCCTCAGCCATCAGCCCGCCGGCATGCGAGGAGAGGAAAGGAGAGCTGAGCAAATGGCCTGTTGTGAACAACTACTGTGTGCCGAGCACTATGCTAGATGCTTTTGCATAAATGCCTCGACTTAATCTAAAATATGCCCCAGGGAAGAAAATCTTTTCTGTTGCTCATAATCCTCACCCAAGGATATTTTCCCACTGATTTTTAGAGAGAGTGGAAGGGAGGGGGAGAGACACAGAGAAACACTGATATGAGAGAGACACATTGACTGGTTGCCCCGCATGCACCCTGACCAGAGCCAGGGATCCAGCCTGCAACTGAGGTATATGCCCTTGACCTGAATCGAAGCCAGTTAAGGGCAGGGAGGAAAATTTTAGTGCAAATGAGGAACCTGTGGCTCAGAGATTAAGGGTGATAAATGAAAGAATGCCAATACCATTCATACCTTAAAAAAAAACACAACAAGTTTCTCAAGAGGATACAAATAAAAAGAGGAAGAATATGTTTTCCGTCTCCAAGGATGAAACAAACCTTCATTAAGGGCAGGGTAGACAAACTACGACTTTCAGGCCAAAACTGGCCCACCACTTGTTTTGACACAGTTTGCTTGAAAACAGCCATGCTCAATGTCTGTAGCTGCTTTCAGGCTACAAGGGCAGAGTCAACAGCTGTCACAAAAACCATGTGGCACAAAAAGCCTTAAATACTTTCTCTCTAGCACTTTACAGAAAAAGTCAGCTGATCTCTGATCAAGTGCAAAAATTTATCCAGCAACTTCTATGCTGTATACTAAGCTTCAGCTAATATGTTGCCATAAACAGGAACTTCATGAAACAAATTTAAATTTTATTTTTATTTTTCTTGTTAATCCTCACCTGAAGATAAATTATCCACTGCTTTTCAGAGAGAGTGAAAGGGAGGGGTGTAGAGAGAGAAACATCAATGTGAGAGAAACACATCAACTGGTTGCCTCCCGCACATGCCCGCAGGGAGGGGGCAGTGCTGGGGCCCATGCTGTGTCACAGATCAATGTGAACTATAGTAAACTTAAAAGCAACGGACTTGTCATACATATATCCCTACTGCAGAAATTAATAAAAATAAATATTTAGCAAATACATTTGTCAAAATTATTTAAATGAACTTAAAAACTTTAATATCCTAAAAAATAACATTACCTTTGGATTGTGCCTAACAGTCGTCTCTCCACATGGAAACTCTAATCTGCGGTGCCACTGATTTGTGGTTATAGCTTTTTTATATTCGACCTACAATAATAAAAACAACATACATCCATTAATACAAATCTATATCACATTGAGAAAAAGTGGAAGAAAATTATAACTATGATGGTTGAAGCAGGTGCTGTGGGAGCAAAGGGACCAAAAAAAATGGTTATGTCCAACAGCCATCTAACGCCACACATGGTGTGCGATTTAGTCATTGTTAGAACCGAATTTAGTACTGGTGTGCCCCATTTTAAGCAGACCCCCCAAATAGACTTACCATATTGATAATTCACTTTACTACAGAAAGAATG